TGAGACTCTTTCTTCCTCTCCCTCTGCCCCTCCCCTCCGTGCTCTTTCTTTCTCTCTCTCTCATATAAATAAATCTCTAAAAAATATATATCTATAGGATATCTTAATTTTCTAAAATTTAAAACAGTATTCTATTTTCTTGGGAGAGATAGGATTTGTGGAACATGATGACACTAGGTGGTTTAAAACTGTAGTCTGAAGAGACTAACAATTCAGCTATTCAAGTAGAACCAAGTAACCATTTTTTATAAAGCTATCAGTAATCAACTTCATCTGATGACTATAATTTCCCCTCAAACATTCTTATCTACTTCAAAATAAGTAGAAAACAGCCCCAAAATTCTAAGAGATTAAAAAAAAGACGTGATATACATTACTGCCTATCCAGTAACAGGTAGTCAATAAGTATTTGTGGAATGAATGAATAAAAATAAAGATCTTATGTGATAAAACAGGGGTAGGCATAACAAAGATGGCAGGTCTCTATACTGCTCTGTACTGCAGAGGTTTACAATATAATAGGGAAGAAAAGCAAAGGTGCAAATACCTTCAAATTATGAGTTTAAAAAAAGTGTCCACAGAACAGTATAATTGAGGAGCTATGCTAAAAAAGTTCATTACTTATTATGATTAAAAAAAAAGCACATGTAGAGAGAATAACACAAGGTAAGTACGGTTCCTATTCTTTAGGACCATTTTGGGCAAAACTTCTCATACATAATTATTACCAAAGAGCTGTAAGGAAATCAGGCACATGTAGTAAGGTACATGATGACCAATCATTTGGGATCACAGGAGGAAGACATATGGCCATGGTGGACAAGTAAGGAGGGCAAGTAGAAAAAAAACCCTAAAAACAAAGGTCCTTCTGCTCAGCTCCTGCTGATCATCTGTACTAAACGGCAAGGATCCTGTCTTTCCCCTTCTCTACGCTCCTCACTAAAAATGATTAGTTTGAAAACTGGAAAAGGAGGAGCATAGACTTTCAATTAAATCCATTCATTCTTGCAATGGGATCATAGCTTCACTACTTTAGGCAACTTTATCTGCAAATCTTTCACATACAATGTATCAATTTAAAGTATACGTGACTGGGTTACTCTCTTGGTCATGCACAGAAAAACAGAAGACAAAGACGAAAAATCCTAGGGACGTGGTAACTCTAAGGCCATCTCTGATTTAAATAGAGTGTGTTGTGTGTTTCCTATTCAGAATCCACTTCTGCTCAAATTTTCCAACTTCTTAAAAAACACAAAAATTGAGGAGAGATTTTTCCCAGAAAGTTTGTGTAAAGATTTTCTAATCCCTGAGGAATAAGGAGTTAATTTTATATAAGTCAAGTTATAGGAAGCATTCATCTTTTTTAAAAAAGGAAAATTGAATTATTCCAATTTGGCAATATCTGACATTACAAAAATTACATGTGATTCAAGAAGGTTTCCTTAAGTCATTAATGAGCTAAAATGCTACCTACTGTTCTTACCTATCTTTGGAAAATTTAGAATAATTTTTAATGTCATGCTTCATATTGAGATTCCACTTAGAAGCACATGACAGACACAGATCAATTATAAAGATTCAAAAGCTATCAAGTATATCAAATAATTTTCATAACCCAAAAACCTATGAAAAGAAATATAAGGTTCTCGTCTGAGACATATGTTCTCCTGTCAGTGTAAGAAAAGAATTCTTACCATAAGTCGGGGTGCTTTCTCGTCTTCCTTGACTACTTGATCTTCCTTTTTCATATTCATAGCAATACAAGACAGTATCTTCCTCAACAATATTAAACCTCTTTCTATATTCCTGATCCAGAAATGAATTTGGTGATTCAGATCCCTTATGCACTGGCTTGCCAACCATATGTCCTCTGAGGTCTTCACAAGGAAGGTTTCCTTTTTCATCCCTAAAGAAAAGGAAAGGTAAAGGAGAAGGATGTAGGAAAGTGTTAGGGTGGTAAAATGGCAGAGAGGGCCTAAAACCGTTCATAATATCCTTCTCATACAAAATATCTTCTGATCTTTTCAAACTTTCTTTGACGTTTAAAAGGCAATTTTTAACTATTCCTATATTGCAGGAAAATAAATCCTGAGGATCAGAGAGGTTAAATGACTCACCTAAAGGTCATACAGCTAATAAATGACATCGCAGGACATGGACCCTGGATCTTCTAACTCCTGCTCTAGTCCATTTTCACTGTGTTATGTTCATGTCAGCACATAAATTACTTTCAGTGCTCAAGACAGTAGGTATAAGTTTAACAATGCTAACAATATAGCTTTCTTGTGCCAGTTTAACTAATTGATGCACAGTAGTATTTGCACTGCTTAAAAACAAAGATGTGTTTAAGAACTACCACTTTTGTAAGGATATCTGCAGCCTTAAGAACCAAATTAGCATTCTATAAATTGGTATTATAAGAATTTTAAACAGCTTGTTATTAATTTAAAATAAACCTTATTGAATATAATTACTTTCAGTATTTAAAATCTATGTATCTCATTTAATATTAAAAATGTACATTCATAGAACTAATTCTAATGGATAGATCAAAGTTTCATTGCACATCAGCAACATTTCTTGTGGAGAGAGGGCAGAGAAACCTGACAAAATATGGAATTTAAGATGATGGCAAACTGACTTTCTATAGGATTCTAAAAAGGAAAAATCTAATCATTTATGGGATCCCTAACACTGTTACTCACATATAGTATTAATATACATAGCCCAGGCAATTGGGCCCCTAATGAGTGGTACTTTGGTAGAAATACTCCATTTAGGATGGGTTAAATTGAACCTTGCTTATTTTATGATATGTTTCACTATGACTAGCTATGAAGTCTTTGTTAGAAAAGCCTGTCTTCTAGAACACGACTGTGAATGTAAATGCAATGTTTGCTCCCTTGCAGATCATTAATTTTATTTCCTCCTAGTTCTTAACTGCTTCCAGTTCTACCCTCAACAGTGCCGTGAATGCTATCAAACCAGATAAAAATTTAATTTTATGTTAAGTGCTAAGACTGAAATCTTAAATCAACAGGATTAACTAAATTATAACAAGACAGATAAAAAGAACACAATTTTAATTGACATTATGTCTTATAAAATGGTGATAAGCTTATAAATCTAACGTCAATTCCAAAATATGAGTTACAGCTCAGTAAGAATATTATACTTCTATACTTCCATACTAGGGTATACTATACTTTTGTAGGTGTAAGAAAATGTCTAGATTAGGTCTGTCCAAATGAAGAGAGCTATATTCCTAGTATGTGAAATATACTGAAAGCAGTAAATAATATTCTTTAAGACTGAATCAGCAAGCTGTCTCATGTATTTAACACATCACAAGTTGACAATGCCATTCACATTGCTATTCACTTTTATTTTTTATTAAAATGAAAGTATTGCTTATTGCTAAATTGCAACTGGATAGTTATTTCTTAGGCAACATGAAGAAAACAAATATAAAATCCAGGCAGAATTTCATTTTCAGCAAGCTAAAAACTTTTCCTGAACAAATTGCCTGGTGCTTTTTGTTACTGTTAGTCCTCTATCAAAAAGAAATTGACACTGCAATTAGCTTGAAAACAGCCCTAACGAACTCGTGGCACTGGGGTAAGGTTTTGCCTGTCTATAAATGGGGAGACATTTCTATCAGGCCTGTGACATGAATGTTAATGCAGCTGAGATCAGAGAGTGATTCAGCCCTAGTTAATTCAGCATGCTCTATTTATATGGACATCCCTGTGGCAGAAAATTGCAAGGGCTGGTATTACTTACTCTGTAATGATATGAAAGGAGGCTTCACCTCATACCAACAAGGAAGATTTATTAAACATGTCTATATGAAATGCACACAAAGTATAATTAAGAAATGTACAAACAAAAAACAATCTTTGCAGTAGAATGAACTGATACATGTGTTGTGTGTAGAAGTGTGTGCACAGTTGTGTGTGCATCTCTGTATGTACTCACATCATGAGTCCCTGAATAACTCAACATATTAATTTGTCCTGCTGTACAGATTTTAAAAAAACTTTTCTTAATGTTATGTATGTAATAAATCTACACTTTTACTCTGAAAAGGATTTAAGGAAACAGATGAAAAGTTAAAACACTGCTTTAGTGGATTTTCTTTATATTTAATGGTTCAGAGTAAAATTAATGAGAGAAATTAGTGCTTGAACTTCAGAGTTGTGCAAAGACCTACAAATTCCTGATTTTTGTCATGGAAAAAGAAATTTGGTTAGGTATGTAAATGCACTATATACTATGATAACGAAGCTACATACAGTCATAAAACATATAACAAAAAACTGACCAAATTTTACTCACTCCATGTACATGAGTATCTTCTCTTTTAGAGAATCTGGAATAAATGTATTCAAAGAATTGTAAGCCCATGAAAAAATTTCCACCTGACAACTGACCCTACCATTTTTAAGGGTTCTTTTTGGATTTAAGGTGAGAAAGCTTTTATTATTTACAATTCAAATGAACACTAACATGCCTCTCTTACATAAACAAAAATTTTTAATTAATATAGGAAAAAAGAAATGTTCAGATGAGTTAAATCAGGTGAACCCCATTTAACATCAAAATGACAAAATGGGAAAAAAGTGCCGAGGCTGTATCTATGCCATAACTTCAAGTCAAACCAGAAAATGCAGATAATTTATATAAACAAGGCTGCAGTAAAAAGGAACTCTGATTCATGGATTGTTCTGACTGTGCTATATCAAACGATTGTGTGACTTGGATAAACAATAATTTGACTCAAAATATATCTAGAATATTTAATATTCTGAAATATTAAATTAATTAAATCAAAACTATCTAGAATAAAGTGATTATGAAGTTTACTGAAAAGTATGAAGCTTTCAATCAAGCAATACTAACAAAACAAGTACCACCATGTTGATACTTCAAATATCTTTAGTATTTTTAAATAGCATGTTCAAGCTTTTTATTGGCTTCAATACATTTCCATAATCCTATCTCCACCACACTCAGAGGACAGAACTCAATCATTTTATTCTTTTGTCTTCTGAAGTGTATTTTATTTTATTTATTTATTTTTTAAGATTTTATTTATTTATTTGACAGAGAGATAGCGAGAGCAGGAACACAAACAGGGGAAGTGGGAGAGGGAGAAGCAGGCTTCCCGCAGAGCAGGGAGCCCGATGCGGGGCTCGATCCCAGGACCCTGGGATCATGACCTGAGCCAAAGGCAGACGCCTAACGACTGAGCCACCCAGGCGCCCTTCTGGAGTGTATTTTAAACACTTCCTGTTTAGGAAATACTTTCTTTATAATAAGTTCCTACCTACACAAGAGAAAAGGAAAGATTAAAAAACTGCAGAGAATTGATAAAAATAATCTGATGTTTACCTGTACATATAGCCCTTGGAATAAGGTCTCTTAAGTAATCATTTGCATTGAAATAAAAATCTTTCCAATTAAAATTAAAACAAACCAAAAGAGTCACTATTCGAAACACACATGTTTTTATTGCTCCTCATGCAAGAGTATTCAGAAAGTCTGACACCATCTTAATAGAATTAAAAGCAACTTGCATTTGGCTAGGATATCAGATGGATCTGTACATCTGATTGTAAATTTAACGTAAGACTATAAATTATATACTAGAAAGATTTGTGAAATGCCAGGTTAGTAAATTGTATCTTCTCATAAACCATGGTCCCACAGCTACATTTAATTCTCAAAATTTAGAACTAAAATGTTTATAAAATGGACTACAGTTTTATTACTAGACAACAATAGGGTATTTGCGGACACATCATGCTGTCATATGGCCTTTAGATTGTAAAATGTCAGTACCATCATATCTGAGAGAATGAAACATTAGGTACACTAAAGAATAATGAAAATCAATTAAAACAAGGAATTTCAGTTCTTTTATATACTGAAGAAATTTAATATGAAGCGTGGCTTGAAAATAAGAGACCTTAAATTACTGTTTTTGAATGACTGCACAACTCATTTAAAAATGGAACCAAATTCTTTGTGATTGGTATTAATTATCCCCATTTAGTGCTGGCCCCTTTCCATAATTTTTATATTCCACAAGACTGGATGTCAGAATGCTTTTGGACAGAATGCCTTATGGCACAAAGTTGTAATCTTCCACACCTGCCAGGAATTTCAAATAGAAAACTGGAAATGAAATGGAAATACAGTCTCAAGAAATCTAGAAAATAGATTCTAAAGGCAACCCATTCTCTTGCAAATTCTTTCTGCTTTCTGACAGAAACATTAATGAACTAATCAAGGAGAAATTGTAGATACAGAAGTATTGGGGGGGGAAATACTCTCCCTTCTCATCATCTACCCCCTCCCCAAAAAGCTCCCTCATTGTACACATATAAGAAGGCATAAAAGTTATCTATACCGTCCTCTTTTAGAAAAAAGTGTGGAATGCTTCAAAGTAACTTGAGATTTTCTGGGGCTTCAAAGCCAAAAATCCTCACTTATTCCTTACTTATTAAAAGAATCCTAATTTTTATTTATTTTTACTTTCCTACTCTTTCCTATTATATGAGACAATGTTTACAAGATATTTAACGCATAGTGTTTAATACAAATTAGTTATTGTTATTACTATTATTAACCAAAGTGCATTTTCTACAATGCAATAGTTTTCCAGAATGTGTTCAGAATTCCTATCTAAGAAAATATTCAAGGTGCTTCTTGAGAATTTACTTCACAGTTTACATACATGTAGGCTAGTCTTTGGATAGAAGGTGCCCAGAACAACAGGATGGTTGGTTTTATACCTGGGAATATATGGTTCTGCAGGAGGAGGGGGGATGTAGAGATCCTGGAGAGCAGAACTGTCTCTTTTGGTTGGTGTACTGATGGTGCTGGAAGGCGTGGCAACGCTGCTTGTGGGACTTCTAGGTATAAGAGGCTGGTTAAAATGAAAAAGAAAATACATACGCACACAAACAACACACAGAACAACAACAACAACGACACATAGTTATCATTTTAAAATTATCTATTTCTGTGAAGTTTTTGAACTTGGCTGAAATCAAGAAGCATGTTATTTAGCACACAGATATTCCTTTGAATCTCCAAAAACAATTTATTACTTTAGAGGTTCCCACTTAGTTCTCAACTCACCTTATTCTATGGCATAACCACGTAAAAGCTATTTACAAGGTAAAAGCACCATGCAGTGTTTCATAATGGTAAGATTTATTTCACAGTCAGAAACTTATTTAAATTAAATTTGCTTTGTTGGAATCCCACCTTTGAAGGGAAGATAATAAAGAGTAACTTTCAAAAGAATTAGCTCACTCACATCCTGACTCATACACAAGAAAGATATTTCTTATCTTTTCCCAAAAAAAGATATACCATACTCTTGAGTTAGCAGAATGTCACAGATTCTCAGAAGAGGTTACAAAAGTTGAGGATGAAAGGCCGATATGAGAGAATACTTTCTTTTTTCATAAATATAAACACAACTAACTGTCTTCTCAAGGTCATTTTATGGTACATCTTCAAAAGCATAGGGATTAATGTAACACAATCATTTCACCTTTCATAGGCACACACATTTATCATTGTTTAAAATAATGTTTAGATACACATCTATAGATTGCATTTTCATGCCTGTTTAAGTATGAACTACTTTTTTAAAAATTAAGATAGCATATATACTGAATAAAGTGATACACCAGGATGCATTAACTTAAGAGCACTCCCAATTCTAAGCTACAAAGCATTTGGAAATGATCTTTTGGTTTGAAAAATTATCCTAAAGTGAGACTAAAATTCACAAATGTTCATGTTTATCTTACAGATCTTACTGATTAGCTATGTATACAATAACATATTAAAAATAAGAATTTTAGTGCAATCGCAAACACAAAAGTAATGATCACAAAATGAACTGTATCTTCACATGATAAGATGTTGCTATTTTAGCCAATATGTAAACACTTTTAGCAAATCTATATAGACCCGCAGTTCTATTACTTTAACATGTATTGCTGGACAAAAAATGGCATATTACAGCTATTTTATATTGTGACAATGCTTTTGTACAGATAAACAAAATGTTCAAAAAACCAAGCACAAATACAATGTACAATGTAGGCCACTGGGGTAGGCTACGTAGTTTATGACTCAGTTCATGGTTTTTGACCTTCCTTATTACACAGCTCACCTTAATAGGTTGAAATCACACATCCTGCCAAAATGACGGTTAAGTTTTAATCTATGTGAAATAGAAATTAAAGAAAAAGAGAAAAGGGAAAAAGAACTGATAATTTATTTTGGGACTCTACAATATTCTATCTCATATGATGTAAAAAAAGTCAGAAACTTTACATGTTAAGGAATTTTGAAATATGAGAGTATGCAGTAGACTTATGCTTAACTATGCTGATTTTGAAAGAGCTCCAGTTAAATTATGTGTCTTTTAGTAACAAAAATCTTGGCAATGGGAAATCGTGAGATTATGTAGGTAATCAAGAGTCATCTGTATGGATGAATACCATGAAGCCTGAGGAAATGAAGAAGTGTATTGTTTCCAGTGATGTATTACATGACTCTACAACACATCTCTGAATGATAGGTTCTTTAGACACACTATATATAGTCACTGTGATGGGACTCTATTTATAATTGCTTTCCTCTTTGTCAGGACATCTTGGTATTAAATACAGATGACATAAAAAATAAGTAAGTTCATCACTATAGAAATATAAAATATAAAAAAAATCCATTATGTAGTACATTACTTTCCAAAACTTTGTAACAAATATACTGTGAGAGAAAAACTTATATTCACTATGCTTTTTAAATGTTTTAGTATCTCTTATTTTAAAATATTCTAATATTACAAGTGAACTTAAGAACAAGTTCTAAAAACATAAAAATTAAAAATAACGTAACAAATTTTTATTCTTTCTTTTGTTTTAGGGTCACTATTTCTATTCTGAAGACTTCTCTCCTTTTATTTTACCATCTATAGAACTAAAGAGAATCTTTCTTGGTTAGTGCCCATCTCTGCCTTCCCCAAACCAAGAGGAAGAAAGGAAGGATGGAAGGAAAAAAGAGAAATATTAGTCACTGCTTACAAGTATATTTTAAATAGCCATGAAGTGTGACGTAAGGGCCAACAGAATATTTTATTCTGCCTGGACTATGACTAGCATTCTACATGGATTATTACTAGGATTCCTTAGGGTATGTGTGTCTTTCCCCTCTCAGTAAACTTAAATATTAGCCATGTCGGCTTTCTTCAAATTGCTATTTTCTCTGGGTTTCTATTTTCAGGAAGGAGTTGCTATTAATATCATCACTTAGCATGATGAGCTAAATTAGTAAATACGTAGAAGAAAAAGACTCTTAAATATGTTTAAACAGATAACAGGCTTGATTGTGCCAGCTGGTTCAATGAATTAAAGTGATGGAAAAAAACAACTTATTCTTTCAGAGAAAAACGGAAATTAGTCAACCCTATTGTTTAACACAACTGTCTAGTTATTGTATTAACTGATAAATCACAGAAAACATTTCAACTGGTTTATCATGCAGATATCATCTGGCTAATCAGTATGCTTTGTACCAAATAAAACACACAGTAAATATTAAATATATTCAGTATATTTTTGTCTACTAATTGTATTACTTTTGTTAAGCTAATCCACACTAAAAAGTAAACATTCTTCTTGAGAATCTTATTTAAAAAAATTATACATTAAGCAATGAAAAAATAAAATATGGTAAAATAGAAGCTTCATGGGAAAATGGAAATAGCTGCTTTACCCCAAAGGAAGTCTTCGTGATAATTTAAAATTATAATCTTTTAAAAAAGTTTCTACCTTTGAACAAGAACTGAATGAATACAAAATTAAAAAGAATGAAAAAGGTGTTAAGGAACATTAGAAAGATAGGCAAAATTTGACTAAATCAAGCACAGAATAAATGATATTATTAGCTGAAATCAGCAGCAAGAAGTTCCTAGTTGTGACAAGTGGCATTAAAATTACAACCACCACTAATAACCATTTAAATGTGTGAAAATATACAAAAAATGACAAATACAACTTCCCTCAAATCAAAAAGTTCTCTCAACATCCAATTCACATTTTAATAGGCATATTTCTTAGTTTCAGAAAAAATATCCAAATATGTTAGCATAATAATGCAGAAAGGTAGCTCCTCCTATCTTGGCAACATTTACTTTCCATCATTTGTTCATAACATAGAAAGTAGTTACTACTGTACTATGAAGAATTTCCAATTTAAGGAAAAATGTAGAAATAAGGGTAATACTTTTTAATTTTACCTTTTTGCCACTTTGATACTTTCTCTTATATTGGCAAAATATGGAAAGAGAATTAAAAATTATCATCATTTAAATGCAAGGTTATTTTAATACTGCATCTTGTTACTCAAATAAGCATGAAGCTTCTCTATAACTTGATCTGCTACAGTATGCAATCAAGAATGATATGGATTCATTTTGGATTCTAGGCAAACAGGCTTATTTCCTGGAAGAACCTTGTCATAACATTTGGTTTTCATATGTAAATGGTCCTAATGACATAAAGCTCTCCTTCCACTGATTCAGTGAGACTCCAAAAGGGAAGAGGCATTTGCATATATGTCATTACCCTGCTAAAATGACTCTGATAGACTTCTTGGGCACTGGCATGCATCTCTGAAAATATCCAGATTCTAAATAAAATGATCATATGCATCTCTTCAAATATACATTGATAACCTTAAGTCAGTTAATGATAACTTACTACAGTCAACAGGACTACTAACTAGAAATCTACTAGGTAAAACATACACATTTTTTTTTCATATTGTCAGTTGGAGCTACATAAATCTTTCAAATTGTATCCTACAATATGGTACTACACAAATCTTCCTCTGAGTCATCTGTGATTACTTCAGTAATAATATCCTACTCATCCAGTTTAAACAGCATTGGAAGATTGTGATTATTATAAAATAAAATTTTCAGCCTTTGTAAGGAATCGCTGAAATCTCACTTTAAATTCTCTGATGGCTCAGGTCTTTTCCTTCTAACGTTTTTAAGGTAACAACACATCTGGAAGGTATACCTCTAAACCCCTATGGTCTTAAAGATTATGAGAAAAGAGCTTCCATACTTAAGAAGCTACATCTGACATTGAGGTTTTATTTGAAACATTTTACATTTTAACAACTCTTGGCAAGCTTATCTTAATTTAGTTGTCCCTCTGTCTGGTAAGTGACCTGGCTTTCATAGAGCTATAGAAAGTCTTGAATGACACCAGTGACATAAAGACAGCCCCAACATTAAAAATTAAAACAATGTGTTACACATTACGGAGTTCTCTCTAAAATTCACGAATGCAAAGATCAGAAAGAGCTTGCTTTGCCTTACAGGCGGAAAACACCCACTGAAATACGAATGATTACATCAAGTATAAAACCTGGCCATTTATTTTAGTCCCTCTTGGGAATAAGCACAGATTCAGATGGATCACAATACCCCATTATTCTAGCATAGAATATTCACACAAAGTCCTTACTTGAGTTCAAACACATTTTTATTATAATTCCCAACACAAGTACCAGAATATTGTTCTATGTTAGCAACTCTGTTCTTAATCATCTAAACAAATGCTCCAGAGAAAATGTATGCTGGATTTTGGGAGGCAAGACATCATATACAATTTATAAGTTTCTTGACCATATCAAGAATGTTAGATCTAATCTGGAAAGTTATTGGGCACAATTTTCCCTGGGAAAGCTTTTCTTGAGTATTAAATTATTTGAAAAGAACCTAAGCAAAGGAAACGCATGTATTCAAAATTCTCCCACTTTCAGTTTTTTCACAGCTTTTTCTAGAATCTAAATTCATACATACAAAATATTTGAGTCTTCTTTTGTAAGCATGTAATCTTTCCTGTCAGACCACCAAGAAAAGAAACATTTTTTTCCCAACCATTGATTTGATCAGGAAACCATATCTGTATAGGTTTAAAAATACAGATATATGTGCATAAAAAATATGTAGTTACATGATATACGAGAAATATAGACCAGAGTCACACTATGAAATGGTTTTATCCACTGAGTCATCAAATTTTGCACATTGTACTAAGACTAATACGAGTGTATTTATTCTTGTGTTGTCCAGTCTTACTGGCATAGTTAATACTGCAACATTAAAACTGGACTTCCATTTTTTCAAGTTACAGTAAACATCATTTTTAGGATATTAATTAAAGAATAAGAAACTAAAGAATAAACTGAAAAATAATTTTTGCATTTTAGGTGATTATCTGTAGTCAGCGTAACATTTGAAAGGCTGAAATTGGCTGAAAAACACAAATGTGATTTAGATACTTTAATTAATTTGCTTAAACACTGCTGAACAAAAATTTGATGTGACAATTGCTTGCAGCTATTTACTAATTTGAGCATGTAAAACATATAATTGTTTCTGCCTCTCAGTCAGCACAATTATGTTTTTAGTTTTCTTTTCTTCTCTAGTGTCATACCTAATATTGGTTATCTTCCTCTTCAAAACATGCTTTTAAAACAAAACTCTCAGAAACGTAACTTTTGTTAGTAATGGTTTTTTTGGTCACCCTGACCCATAACTGTGATATTCAAACAAATTTTATTATTTCTTATGTTCTGGTTTTCACAGAATAACCATTCATCTCTGTATGTATATGAAATGTAATGTAATCAATTAGTGTTCTTTTGTTGTTATACCAGTCGATAGACAAAACTGTTATAACTATTTGCTTTCCATTTCTTTTTCTGCTCAAAGTTAAATATCCTGTAAAAATGGTAATGCTAAGCAATAAAATTTTAAATGAAAAGCACAAAACCACACAAGAAACTCTCACACAGATATAAGAGATTTATGGATTAGGATGCAGTTTAGGAACATAATCCTAACGATACAGCTTGTTATTTCACATAAAAATATATTTAATGAAACCTGTATCAGTATGTTGAATTCCAACATTGATTATAGTGATCATTTGAGATGCATTCTCACCAAAAAAGCTGGGTTCTTTAATGTTTAATTGCTGATTCCCAGTGATGTGATTTCAACCAACATTCTTGCTAGCGTCCAGCTAATTCTCTCATGCATCTCTTGTAAGAAGAAAATGACACCACCCACGCATGCTTGTGACCTACGCACACTTACTTAAAACCACAAACACCAAAAATATACCTTGAAGCTTATTCAGAGTTCCTTGGGATTTTTTGATTAAATTGGAAGAACTTGACCATAAGCAATCACCAAGGTCACCAAAATCCAGGATATTAGTAGAAGTGCTACTAAGAACACGTTTTTAAAAACAGTTCTTGGAAAGCAGGAAATCCCTGGTTTACTCTCACAGAATAAAAGATTCTATCTCAGGTAAAACATCTCTACTATTTATAAGTGGGTACAGATGACAACAGAATTCAACTCCAGATTAAATCTGCTTGTAATATTTGACTAAGGTATCTTTAAGTCTTTCAGTTCTATTGCAAAATGTTTGAGAAATCAGAAATTTAAAAAAAGAACTGCCAAATTTCATGAAATGTACTAATGAAATTGCTCTGTGAGCATGAAGTTGAATTGTATGCTTTTGTTTATTTGGCTATAATTTCATGAATGATTTTCACAAGAAAATCCAAATCCAAATTCATTATTGCAGTTGATTAACAATAGAAGTTACTATCCTTTCAAAATATTTTTAGAAATAAAACTTCTTTCATGAAAATGTGGAATTCTTTAATGATCTTCTACCTTAGGGTAGACAAGGTTAAATTTTATTTGTGTAGGTACAAATTATTTCCTTGTTAGTTTAAAAAATAATTATTCCTTATGTTAGAATAAAGTTTTTCTTTTTTAAGATGCGTGTATTAGTGTCTGCCTCCACACCACACAAACTTGGCCATATTTTATTTGAAAATGCTAGTAGGTAAATTAAGCCTGGTAGAGAAGAGAAAGTTGAAATAGACATACTGAGTTAAATAAATGCCACAAATTATTTCTTTTTGTAATCTCTATTTAAATCATTCTTAGTAGACTGTTTGTATGGAAAAAAAAATAACCTAAGGTCTAATTCTCCAGGTGAGAACACTGAAGATTTATATTTAACTGAGTTAACAGACATTTTAGCTCCAACGTATATGTACACATACCAGAAGCAAGAATACAGTAAGACTGGTACTTGGGTCTGCACAGAGGTTTATTCTTGCATTAAGCATTGTATTTCACATCTGAGGTCCTTTCTTAGACACTAGGAAAAATATGTGGCCTCAGGCAAAGTCACAAAGGAATCCAAAACTGCCTGCAAGACCTTCTTATCTTATTATTTCTTTGACTTTTCCCCCTCTGGAGGCAGTCTACCTTTAATCTACAGATTCTGGTACCTTCAGGTTTTGTTCATCTTTGGTTAATTTACACTCTATAAAAATTCTGACCAGAAAGTTACCATTACGTTTTTGGTATCTCTGTGTTTTAGAGTAGGCCAAAGCTGTAAGGTCAAGAAACAACTCTGTAATGGTACAATTTCAGGTCTTCAAAATTTCAGGGATATTTGGTGATGGTGGTATAGTAGGTTAGAGGACTTATCCATTGCTCTTACCACCAAGACCTTGCTTTACCACCATTAGGAAGTATTTAATTAAAACTAATATTTTTCCTTCTGCTCTGTAAAAAGTCAACAACTGAAGCAATTTTTTAAAGAAGTTGAAAGCAAATTCCCCACCTTCCCAACAGTATTGTTTATCTATAAGGAGTTGAGCTTGGACAATACATTTCAGTGGAACTAAATTCAGTTGAAATAACAAATTTACAAAAATGTGGATACATATAAGCACTTATGGAAATGCTGATTTTCTTTTTTCTGATTTCAGCAATCTGAAAAAGTAAATTTATAAATATATTCAGAGTAACTGAACAGGCAATGAGGAATAAATATAATTAGTGATCTGTGAGGCATATTTCTTGGCAGTTAGCAATGGACCTAGAAACAGTATCCTAATAACATAATTATAATTAAACCACGATATGAAATAATTAAAAAAAATTAAAGTCTTTGTTCTCCAGCTTTGGAATATACACACCAAATGTGTGGCAAAAAAGAAATGTTGGTTTTTCAATTATTTCAGCATTTTATATAAAAGTGATGAACTGGATAGTGTCATTACCTTAATTCTCCAGTTTGTGCTTGTGGAAAAGAATCTAAAAAGGGACCAAATTATCAATTTATTTCCTAGAGATATTCCCTCAAACAGAGTTCATGGATCAATAAGAAAATAGTGTCTTTTTGGTGTTCAAGGTGAAATAGAAGGGATTAGAGAGAAGTTGTTAAGTTTAACTACACATATATAGAGAAGAAAACCTAATGGCTGAAATTGTGGGACTCTTCTTCAGTGTTCCCACCTCTCAGGATCTTTGAGGAAGACATGTCAATAGGAAAACTACAGAGTGGAACAACAAAGCAACTTATAATACAGTGAGAAAATAAAATGATGTGATGGGAAAGTCTGATCTGCTAATTTATGATTTAATGAGTCAAAAAACATTGAACTCTGAACTTTAATGACATTAAAAATGTTTGATAATAGACATATACTGCAAATCAAATGTATTTGGACATATTAATACAGTTTACATATATTCATTTGAAAAATGAAAGATTAACATTAAAAATTTAAAGACCTTAATGTTAGAACATTTTATATGTTTTTATGTTATTTAAATATAATGCAACTTTGAGGCAAATAAGTAGTAAAGTTTTAAACGATAAGAAATCATTATACTCCATAAGGCCATTCATGTGTAACAGAGAATTTAGGATTTTAGGGGAAAAAACATCTAAGAATGGTACTAATATACAAGTTAGGAACAATTTATATAACAGTGATAACAATGACATTTACATATATTGCTTTTCTTTTTAATCTGAACAATGGGCAATGTTCTAGTTCAGCGGGCAATTACAATTTTAAAAAATTAGACTTCTAAGAAAGGTAATAGTCTCCTATTTTAAAAATGCAGGTTTTCTGAAAGACAAATATTTCTTTTATGATGCGTTTAAAGATTATATTGACTGAAATGGAAAGAAATGTATTACTTCCTTGTCTTTCATCAATCAGAATCATATTCTTATAACTTCCTAGATAACTATGCTTCTTAATGAATATAATTTATCAACATCCATAGAGTAATATTTTAGAGTGGTTTCATGCTGAAGAAAAATGCAGAAATTCTAATGCAATAATTTCCCTGTCCTGCCACCTGACAGAGTGAAAAAGAAAAAATGATCAAAGGGAATGTAGTAGGTACATTTTAATTACTATATAAAACTTCCTTTACCTACTGTTTATAAATAACTATTACTATCTTATGACCTGATTTAAAAGAATTCTATCATACAGTTTCTCCAAGAAATATGATAGTGTAACTTTTAAATAGAAGATTACATCTCAAAATGAAACCTCTCATTTTCCTCTCTATCCATATTTTGGCTTGAAATAACTTGTGTTTTTTTGTAATTATGCTTTAAATGTTTACAAATTAAGGCAGAGTTCTTTATCATTTGGGTTTTAGTTATAGTAACTTACAGATTTCATCACAATTAAGCCTATTAGGATAAGCTGTGAGGAGATAATTTCACAAACCAATTTTCAAAAGCATACAAGATTAATCTATATGCTGCTGAGATGAGGCACAATAAAGAAGCATTACTGAGATAATCTATGGCTAAAATGATGGTGTATGACTTATGATTAAGCTTCATTACCTGCAGAGCAAGGGGCTTCCATCTCATATTTTTCAGTAAAGCTGGTGCTGAGGTAAGCATGCTCTGAGGTCGCTTTTTCAAAGTTAAGATAACACCACTCGGGTCCTCTCGTAGTGCATTCACCAAATTTTTCAACTGCCACCCCACCTGGTAACCAGCAAAATCATTACAATAAAATTGAGGTACAGTATTCAAAGATTTAATGTTCTCCCCCTTTAATAAGATTAGTAAAAAAAAAAAAAAAAGAAAATCACATAATTGGTGTACCATCCTATAATTTTCAGGAGATATATACTCAAAAAAGAAATTTTATCTCTGAATTGATTTACCATGTTATTGCATTAGAGTCCATATTATTATGAGATAACATAATGGACATTTACCAGTTCAAAGCAGAGACTAAAACGGTATCCTACCAATGGAGTAATTTAGAGTTTAAAGAGATTATGTCATCATTAATGCTGTGCAAGGCCTAGATCCAAGCTCTGTTCACAAGTACAATTCAAAAATCCACATGCTTGAAAACAAGGATTTGGCAATGTCCTGAGCTTGCAAGCTATACCACATGCTTTCTCATCACCATCTTTTAGAAATTTGTGGTACAAGTCTCTCTCAATTAGACTGAATTTATACTACTGATAGCTGCTGCTGACAAAGCAAGGCAACACTCTGATGCATGGAAGACAGCATCAATAAAATTAACCTTTTACCACGTTACAAGGATAGAAGAAAAAATGACAACGTCACACTATTCCCATGCAGCAGTTATTGGAAATGTGTTCCAAATGACCCTATAAACTTAAAATATAATGTGCTGAATTTAATGAAGCCATTCTATTTGAGAATCACCTCAAAACATATTGTATAATTAAACCCAAGTACTTAATAAATGTCCTGAAACCTGGCTCAACTCTTTTCCGTGTTAAATTACTTCACTCATCATCCTTTTAAGCTCTTAAACATAGAATAATTTGTTAGTTTGCTTGAAGATGGACTAGTTATGCAGCTATCAGGTAACTGAAATCCTTTCACTATGCTTTAAAGAAGCACATTAAAAATAGCTATAAACACATTTCACACTTAAAAGAGAGAAGAACATTTTATCCCAACTCTAATGGATTAGAATTTTCCAGGATGTTATATAAATACATTGGATCAAAATTTATCCTGGATTATAAACAGGATTTAACAAATAGTCTGAACAGTAATCTAGTTTCTTCCTAGGCACCCAAGTGCAAGGGAATGGGTGCCCTTGTCATTCATTATGTTTTTGCCTGGAAGATAATGATCAAGCTGAAAAGAATAAGTACTTCCACGGAAAGAATCACAGATCCTGAGACTATGATGAAGAGGTACTCTGGACTGCAGCCACTGTGAGATAATGGGAGACGGTGGTTTATAAGATGCATGGGCATTCATTTAAATCATAACCTCTACTGCAGCTGAAAGGAGTGATGGTGAAGAGAAAAAGGACAAAAAAGAAGTGAGATTCTACAATGCTTAAAAACTCAGGGGTCCCTGATATGAATCAAAATGATCATTATGATACTTGCCTAACACAAACAAGAGGCTGCCAGTTAAAAAAAAATCACATTAAAGCAGATAACTAAAGTAATGAAACTGGTCAAATGTCTCCCATTACATATCAGTGAGGAGGATTATTATGTGCCCAAAGGTGTAGAACATTGAGTCTGATTCCTCTGATAGCTAAGTAGTGTCTCTGCAGCCACTTCAATAAGCCAAGAGTCAAAGCAAAGTGAATTCAAATTCAAGTGTTCATTTTGCTTGCCAAAAAAATATGCAAGCAGATTTTTGAGTTCAAGGTTTAGAGGAAAAAACATGCTGTTTATACAAAGAGTTTATGAACAACTTATTAATGATAACCACATTTTATCATTTATTTTATTTATTCAAATAATTACTAACTATACTAAAACAGCCAATATGATGGCCATCCTTTTCTTTTAGCCTATGTATTCTCAACAATTACACATTTCTATCCACCAATTTCTTTCCATTTTTTTCTGATACGATCATTGTGACTAGTTGAGAATTTCAAAGGCTAGATGGTGTTTTCCTCTATCGTGTTCAATGCAATTTGATTTACCCTGTTCTTTCACACTTTATGCCCTATTTGAATATGCAATCCCAAAAACAGAATTGTTTTTCATGAGAAAGTAAAATTGTTTTTTGATGAGAAAATAGTAATTTGGTTAGATTTTAATTTTATAGCTGAATGTTATTTAATGGCAGAAAAGTATATAATTTTACTATTTTTTTCAGTTTTCTTTTTTTTCAAGTTTTTATTTAAATTCCAGTTAGTTACCATACAGTGTAATATTAGTTTCAGGTGTAGAATTTAGTGATCCAACACTCACATGCAACACAAATTTTACTATTTATCAATCAGCCTTCCCGCTCTCACTGACATAGCATTAGCAATATTTTAAACAAAAGTAAGCAAATATCCATGAAGACCCATATAAAGTTATGTACCTTTGATTCCCCAATTCTACTTCCACTATCATAAGGAAATGATTTGGATAAAAGCAGAAATAAATGTGCAACATGTGTGTCACAGTACTGTTTAAACCAACCAAAAACTGTACATTATGTAAATGTCCATTAGTAAGGGATATAAAAATTGTTGTGTGGAAAAAAGGGAAGTCCCAAAATAGCAAATGTAACTCAACTCTACCTTTGTAAAAAATTTTTATATAAATATAGAAAAGATAGAGATACACAACATCATGAACAGTGGTTACATTAAAGGGATGAGTAAGGACTACAGTATATATTTTCTTCTTTATACTTCTATTTCCTGAACTTTAAGTGATAAACATGTTATTCTTATAAACAACAAAATCAACAAAATAAATGGACTTAGTCCATGAATAGTGATATTCGTTAGAAAATCATTAATTTTATGAATTACTTAATGAGGACTGTTTGTTATGCAGGGACAATTTCCACAAAAAGTATAGAACTAGAAAGACAACACTATTTAAAACAGTAAAAGGTGGTGATGGGGGAATTACATCTTCTCTGTTAATTATACTTTCAGATGATTAGCAAAAAAATTTATTACTCATCTGTGCTTAATAAGAACTATATTCTATTGATTTTGGTTCAGTGAATGATTTCAGTAGATAATTTAAGTGTTAAATCAGGTCCACATATTAATTACTGAATGGGAATGAAGCTGGCTGAGCAATTCACAGCCTGTGTGTGACATTTTTCTCAGTAACAGAGGTAGGTTTTAGCTGTATCAGTCCAATCCAGGGCTTGTACACTCCTAAATAGGAACCAGACCTCATGTCTCTCATTTAAATTGTCCTTTTCCTTAGACTCATCTCAAACTCTCTAATTTGGTTCATTTCTTCATTAGTTTCTACCTTGTCTACTATATATAATTCTTAACAAATGTATCCATTTATTGGGTTGTACCACGTTCTATTCGAGGGCAAATGTGACATGGTACTAAAGCTCCAGGAAAAATGATTCCCAGCTTTGGTTTTGTGATATCCTAACATATCTTCAGCCATAGTGTAGTGAATTCTTGAAATTAATTTTTCTCTTTAACTGTTATTGAGATACTTATGGTTGACAGATTATAGGGGGACATGGGCAGTTGGTATGATAAAAAGAGGCAAGTATGTGAGTTAGAATGTCATGTGAAAATAAGTAAAATAATCATTTTCCAAGATCAGCTTTCCATTTTCCTTTTGTTGCTGGCTATATTTTTAAAATACTGTGTGAGAGACCCAAATTAGAAACCATGTAAGGATATAAAAGTAACTTTAAAAAATAATTGTCAAGTATTCTTTACATTGGCTGCAATAAAATCTTTTCTGTAGTAGTAGAGGGAGATTTGAAAGAAGGAAGAAGGGATCCTAGTGGTGGCTAACGTAAGAGGCTAATCCACTAATACAGAAAGGAATTAAATAAGGTACAAAATTTCAAGAGATAATAGGTTAAGGATACATAGAAAAATATTCTAATAATCAAAGACATCCAAAAAGGAATCAGCCGACTTGTGAAATAGTGAGCTCAATACCAAAAGAGATGTTTCAATATTCTTGCAGAGGCTAAATGATTACAATAGATTTCCAAAGTCATGATACATTCCAACTGTAATACGCAGAATGGGTAGGAAAATGCCAATAGATCATACAACAGCAGATTAGGTCCTGGTACATCTCTGATTGCTGTGTTCTCCATCTTTTCTTCCTCCTCACAACCGATAAATGCAGGTGTTTACCCTAGGCTAACTGTTAGACTCCTTTCTAAAATTGCATGCTCTCTTCTTACAATGGTCTCTTCTCTTCCCAAAGCTTCCACTACCAACTTTGTGTATATGCCTCTCAGAACTCATCATCCCTGCTTCCTAGAAGAACTCTAGTGGCATACTTCCAACAGTTCAATTCATCCATACTAATAGCTACTGAATAATCTAGCAACAATAATTCACTATGCTATATTCTTCATAACTATATTACGTTGCTTTGTATTTTCATTCTTAACATCTGTATGAGGGAAACTATTAAACCCATTTCACATGTGAAGAAACTGAAGCAAAAGGAGATTCTAAGTTTTCTCAGCCAACATTACAAATTTAGTTAAGTGGCGAAGCCAGAATTCATATTCAAGTCTGTTCGATTCTAAAGCACAAAGCATTACGAGAGCAAGCATGCCCCACCCTCTAGATATCCTATTGGTAATTCAAATGAATGTAACATTTTGAAAATAAAACTCATTATCTCCCTGCTCTCATTCAACATCAGTAAAAAAAAGTTCCCCATCATCATCTCAAATTTGGAGCATGGGGTCACCTATGACTACTTCCCCTCTTTTTAATCCACTTGTCCTAAAGAATAGATCCTAGCAACTAATGTCTCTTCTTACTGCCTTAGTTCTGGCTTGCTTTACCTGATTGCTAGACTTAAAATAGAGTCCAAACTGGTCTTTCTGCCTCTAGTCTTTTGTAACTCCGAAATATTGCTACAGTGAGAAAGTGTTTTTCCCTTATAAACCTTTGAAAAGCTCTCTGAAGGCCCAACTAAAGAATCACTTCCTCAAATAGCTCCTTCGTCAATATGGCCACAGCTGTCTAGACTTTATTTCACTTTAATGTGCTTCTCAAACTT